GTCAGTAGTTTCAAAGCGTTATATGACAAAGAGTGCTGGGAAGACGGGACACCACGAGCGTAGCTCTCATCCTGTAACTACACTTAGGTAATTACACACACACTTGGACCACAAGATGGAACACATGGATGGAGCAAGACTAGTAACTGTGTGACTCACCATAGATGTAAAGTGCCTTGTATAGTGACTGTTGTGAGCCTCTTGTTGAATCACTTGTGATACAAAAGATTATCGATGTGTATATGTATTTGTGTAAATGATTGTATATATATATATATATATATATATATATATATATATATATATATATATATATATATATATATATATATATATATATATATATATATAACATTAATAATTGTGTAACTAGCTTCAAAAGATTGTCACTTGTTTAGCTACATGAACTATGGGGTTCAGTTCCTGAACCCATTATGTGCCTCTGTAACCCTTCCCACCACCGCCCACAGGATGAGTATGGGGTGCATAATAAACAAAGAAATTGAATTGCCTTCATCACCTGCCTATGTGCACCGTTCTTATCGTCAACTCACCTCTTCCATCTCTCTCCTGTGTGTCCTGTCCCTTCCCTCCCTCTCTCTCCTGCTGTTCCACCCCCCACCCACCCTCCCTCCACGGCCGCTGTAGTCAGTGCATCTTTAGGTCCCTATAGGCGCTCTCACCCGCCCGCCCGCCCCCCGGCGCCCGGCGCCCGCCCCCTGGCGCCCGCCCACGTGTTCACCCTCTTCTCTTCTGTATTAATTCCCGTTGACGGGGTCAGTAAGCCTGTGCTGAGGCTTGTATCAAGGTCCAACCCTAGGAGAAACTACTGACTGTCCTCAGGATGTAACCCACGACAGTTGCCTAACTCCCGGGGTGCCAATAGGCTGATGGGTGAATGGTGGCATCAGGTGAAAGGAAACATGTAGTCGACCTCCTTATATTGCATCTTGTTCAGTAAGGTGTTCTTGCTAACACTCCAATTCTTATTATCTTGCATTTATCGCAGTTAAAGTCTTGTAGCCATTTCTCCGACTATCCTTAAAGGCAGAGTTATAAACCAAATAAGATTGCAACTGAGATTTAAAAAAAAGTTGTTTAACACATTGTATATAATGTTACTGAAGCACACATACGAGTCATAAATACTCATACACTGCGTAAGTAATACAGAAACCAGGACCGAGTTCAGTTTCTTAGTCGGTCAGCCAGAGGCTTAGGGGCGGGAACTATCAGGAGAATGCGTCAAATGTTTACTACAACATAGCACCTGGAGGAGGTCAGGATAAGGATTTGGGGATGGGACAAGGGAAAAGAAATGGTGCGCAATCACTTGGACGGTCGGGGATTGAACGCCGACCTGCATGAAGCGAGACCGTCGCTCTACCATCCAGCTCAAGTGGTTGGTCTTAAGAGCCCGCAGAGGAAAATACCTGAAAAAAACTTAAAAGGTTATCCAGGTTGTGCATCCTTGAGTCTTACGAGTCTCTGCACTGAGAGTGTTCCTCTCAGGTCATATATGGACGCGAGGAATAGTAGAGGACGTAGTGTAGACCCCTGTGGTAGTACACGTGTCACCTCCCTTCACTCTCACCATAACTCTTTGTTTCCTACCAGACAGGTATTCTCTAATTCAGGATAGCACCAGTCCTTGTACCGTCGCTTGGTTCTCAACTGTGTGCAACAGTCACCCGTGTGGAGCTGCGTCATATTCCTGTTCACAGTTCACGAAGACACAATCTGCCCATCTTTCCTTTTCCTGCCTTATATGTTGTTGCTGTTTTAGATTCAGCTGCTGGGAACACAAGTTGTAAGTAGCGCGGGCTATGGTGATCCCGTAGTGGACTTACCTGGCACAGGAGCGGGGCTGTAACTTGCGGTCCTGCTGTATATGTGTTGCCTTCTTATTAAGCTCCAAGAGGTTCGTTAAGCTTGATCGTTAAGCTTGACAAGTAAATAATTACCACAAGAAGACACCAAACCAGGAAGACTATGGCGCTTGATAAGCCAAGGAGGGGGGGGGGGGTGAAAATAAGGTTCCCATTGAGATTTGTCCTTTGTCTACTGAGGTCCTATATTGTATATTATTGACAGTGAGTGTATGTACTCACCTCGTTGTACCTAATTGTGCTTGTTGGAGTTGAGCTTCGGCTCTTTGGTCCCGCCTCTCAACTGCTAATCAACTCGTGTGCATGTTCCTGAGCCTTTTGGCCTCTGTCATGTCTACAGTAGAAACTGCTTATACGGAGTCTGCCTCCACCACATCACTGCCTAGTGCATTCCATCTGTTAACTACTCTGACACTGGGAAGAAACTCTTTTTTTAATGTCTTTGTGGCTCGTTTGGGGTACTCAGTTCCACCTGTGTCCCCTTGTGTCAATACCACTCGTGCTAAATTGTCTTTATCTACCATATCAATTCCCCTTAGAAATTTTATATGTGGTACTCATGTCTCCCCTAAGTCTTCTGTCTTCCAACGACGTGAAGTTCAATTCACTTAGCCTTCCTCATATCTCATAGTTAGTAGTTCTGGGACTAGTCTGGTGGCATACCTTAGAACTATCTCCAATTTCATTATGTGCTTGACTAGATATCGACTTCCGCTGGAACCGCATACTCCAGGATTGGTCTTACATATGTGGTGTACAAGATTCTGAATGATTCCTTACACAGGTTCCTGAACGCTGTTCTGATGTTAGCCAGCCTCGCATATGCCGCAGACGTTATTCTTTTTATGTGGGCTTCAGGAGACAGGTTTGGTGTGATATCAACTCCTAGATCTTTCTCTCTGTCCGTTTCATTAAGTACTTCATCTCCTATTCTGTATCCTGTCTCTGGCCTTCTGTTTCCACTGCCTAGTTTCATTACTTTGCATTTGCTTGGGTTGAACTTCAACAGCCTTCACTTCAAGGTCAAGAACTTCAAGGTACTCATACGTGTGTGTGTGTGTGTGTGTGTGTGTGTGTGTGTGTGTGTGTGTGTGTGTGTGTGTGTGTGTGTGTGTGTGTGTGTGTGTGTGTGTGTGTGTGTAGAGTGAGGTGGAAGCACGACTATTCACCAGCTGGAGCATCTGGCACCCCCGACCTCCAACCTTCCACTAGTCTGCTGTTAAAGCTGAGAGGCACTTGGCCTCAACCCCCCCCCCCACCAAGTGCCTCCCAGGCACTGTAACTACTCTTGCTTCTGTAGAGTACTGTCTTAGGTTCCATTCACCTGAACTGTATGGGTCTCGAACCGGTGACCCCACGCATGTGACGCCGACGCTCAATCGATTGAGCTATGAGCAGTCTAAAAAAAAAGCTCAGTAGTAGTCAGGTGAAAAACTTTCAACTTTTCGAAATTTTCTGGAAACTTTCCTTATTATTTCCTTATCATAGCCCAGTTGATAAGAGCTACGGCTTCACATGCCTTATGGGTCCAGGGTTCGAGACCCATATATGCAGTCTAGGCGAATGGAATGTTTATTTCCAATAAAGAGTGGGTGGTAATTTATACTGCCTTAGGTCTTTCTGGCATATGGGCTTTGGCCCTCAGAACCTTGTATGTTGCGATCATGTCTCCTACTTAAGTAGCGGTAGTTGCTAAAATCTGTTTGTGGGCATTAAGACCCAGCTCTTGGCTTTTGCATTTGCATTTTGCGTTTGCATTTGCATTTTTGGCTATGCCTGTCACTTTCCCACAAGGCATCTCTACAATTCACCATGTTTACACACCAATGTTTACAAAACCCAAGTGTACCTTCTTGTAAATTATTTTTTTTTATCTTGTGCTTATTTCTATATTTTTTTAAATTCTGGTTCTCAGGGAGAAGATCAAGGCTGAACACAGACATTTGGAGACACCACATAGTCTGGTCCTCTCCCCCTAACACCACACTACGGTACGTTAACACTACGGTACGGTATAGCATGGTGACTTACACAACGTACTATGAAAAGTAGGTTGTTCGCTATGAAGAGAACGGGCTGGTCTGGAACGACTGATCTTCCACCAGGATGCATATAAGTTTCCAAACTCCCGGTTACCTTACGGGCTCACCATGCAACCTGTCCTCTTAAAAAGAACGTCGCTTTTGGCCGTTTGCCCGTATGGCCGAATTTGGACGTAATTTGAAAATGAAAAAAAAATGAAAATAAATTTGGGATTTCTTTTTTCAACAACAGTAAGTTAAGGGTCCTCTGATAGGTTAGGTGGGCAGGAAATTCTTATAAAGTTTCAAAACGTTATGAAAAACGTTAATTTAAAGTGTCCTCTTATAACCTCTGCGCGTAAGGCGGACGACTCAAATAGAAAACGGAACAGAACGTCACTTTTGTGAGTCGATTTCATTTCAAATTACGTCCAAATTTAGCCATATCGCGCATACGGGCCAAAAGTGACGTTCTTTTTAAGAGGACGGGTTGCACCATAGCCCGTGCGGGTGGAAGGAATTATCTTCATAGGGGATTATCGGGTGGATGGAATGAACTTTGGTCTTTGTTTATGAGGACGGACTGCGTGATGAATCCTGGTCCAAGAATACCTCACATCGTTCACAACACTGTTCGCCAACAGATTTTAAAACCTTCCTAACACAGCTAACTGAGCCTAACCACTGACGTTCTAACCTAACCATATACTGTATACGGTTTTAACCAACAAAACGAGCTTTGTCGAGCCGTCTTGTGTACAAGTTGACCAGGGGCCAGATTCACGAAGCAGTTACTCAAGTACTTACGAACGTGTACATCTTTCCTCAATCTTTGACGGCTTTGGTTACATTTATTAAACAGTTTACAAGCATGAAAACTTGCCAATCAACTGTTGTTATTGTTATAAACAGCCTCCTGGTGCCTCGGTGCTCATCAACTGTTTAATAATTGTAAACAAAGCCGCCAAAGATTGAGAAAAGATGGGCAGGTTCGTAAGTCCTTGCGTAACTCCTTCGTGAATCTGGCCCCAGATCCCGTTCCCAAGCTCTATACCCCGTTCTCAAAACCCCAAGAGAGGGCACCACTGACCTTTTTCTCCAGGTACCAGGAGGCTGGGAAGATGAGGGGGATGTAGGTGACCATGTAGATCATTGAGAGCCAGTCCACCATGGTGGAGGAGACGCCGTAGTAACGAACGATAATGTTGTTGATGATGGAGTACTGGATCCATTGGAAGGCGTTCGACATGGAGTAGACGACGAAGAGGGAGAGGATCACCCATCGGATCTTGTAGACTCTCACTGCCCCGGAGGGTATAGTGTCTCCTGCACCGGCCGGAGGACAGGTAAAGCTGGACTTAATTAGTGTTGTGGGGGGTAGCAAAGAGTATTGGTTGGGGGTGGTGTGTGGGGGAAGGGAAGGGAAGAGAAGGGAAGGGAAGAGAAGGGAAGGGAAGGGAAGGGAGATGTTAGGGTGGTAGTAGTGGTGGTAGTCTGGTAATGCTGATGATGACACAGATTAGAATAGATAATATTCACGCGTGTGCCGGGTTGGGTTGTGATGACACTGACACAGGTGATGATAAGGGTATGATGATGATGGCACTTACCTATCAGTAAGTAATTATCAGAAGAAGGCGCCAAGCCGGGAAGACTATGTAACATCTACAGTACTTGTCTATCAGTACTCACCTATCCATGTCTACAGGGGAAGTGAGATCTAGCTCTTTAAGCCCCGCCTGCAAGCCTGGTTGTGTCTCTTGCGTTATAATTTCACTATTCTAATACTCAATTTCCTTCTCGAATTTAGCTTGTAAGTTGTGGACGCAAGTGACTTCCACAACTTTCAGTACATTCCACTTGCTTTCCACCCGCATAAGGTACGAGTATTTCCTTACATTTCCTCGACTCATTTCCATTTCCAGCTCTCACCTGTGTCCTCTTATCCGACTTTCTCTCAATTTAAAGAGATTGTCTTTGTCCACTTTGTCTATTTCCCCCCTCAGTATCTTATATGCTGCGATCATGTCGCCTCTGTTCCTTCTATCCTTTAGAGTTATTGTTGCAATGAGAACAGGCTGCTGTAATGAGCGTTCTGAGTGTCATATACAACCTATGTAAGACCCACGCTTGAATCTGCAGCCTTTGTAGCCAAGAACTTAAAGTAGAAAAGAAACCAAGAGATTCAATAAGACTCAGAGCAAGGTACGAGGGGAGACTGGAGGTCAGTACACTGGACGAGAGGAGCGGACATGATAACGACATGAAAGGTTCTAAAGGAAAATGCTAAAGTAGACAAAGCAGCAATATTTAAAGTAATGTACATGGGGGGGGGGGGCTGATGGAAGCAAGACACTAATAATTCAGAGCGATTGAAAGAACTGTTTTTACACCTCTCCAAACCTACCAAAATTCTTTTCCCCCGCCCACTGTCACCCCCCCCCCCCGGCCACTAAAGACATGAGGCCTGAGTGGATCGACTTGAGAATGGTCCAGGACGGACCGAAACGTCGTCGTCCCTTCACCTTCTAGTGTGTAGTCTGGTCAAGATACTTTAGCCACGTTATTGTGACTCATCGCCCTACATAAAGACACGAGAGTGACCACCTCCAGGTCCCCACCACCTTCAGTGAGTGACACACACCAGTGTAGGCCGTGAACCAGGGCCTTCATCACCCGCACCTGAATTTACCTGAAGCCTCGACGGGGACAGGAACCCTTACTCATTACACCACGCCCCCCCCCCTCCCAAATATTCCTGACGACATTTACCACCTGATTTTCGAACTGGAGCATTATCTTGGCAATTATGGCTTCGGCGGGTAGGCGGTTCCATGCTTTTATTGGCAAACAGGTCTCTTTTTTTTTCTTTTTAGTCTGTCCTACTACGTGGCTTGTTAAGCTTGAAGCACTTGTTCCTTGAATGTGTTACATTCCACATTTTAAAAGACACATTCACTTCCTCCCTACACTCAAGTCTTATCAAGTCCTATAAGCACTTTTTTCACCATTCATGATTTGTTGTGATATATTTTTTGAGTGTAAAGAAAGTTGTAGAGCCTGACGCAGCACCAGCACCACTGACAACATGTGTTGGAGGTCAGCTGTATCTGGCCGTGGTGGCGGCCAGATACATTGATCTAATGCTGATTACATCACTTGTAACCAGTATGGTTGTGATAAGATTACAGCACTGCAGAAAGGGAGAGAGAGAGAGAGAGAGAGAGAGAGAGAGAGAGAGAGAGAGAGAGAGAGAGAGAGAGAGAGAGAGAGAGAGAGAGAGAGAGAGAGAGAGAGAGAAGAGGAGGGAGGGGATGGACGAAGGGAGGGAAGGGTCGGGAGGAGAGAAGGGACGAAGGAAGGGGAGGGGGAGAAGGGAATAATCATTTAACCCATTGATTATTCCCATCTATCCAGGCCTTCTTCATTAAAATGTTCAATTACCCTCCCCCCCCCCAAGTCTTGTACCCTTGATACAGTAATGACTAGAGTAGTCCGCTACAAGAGTGTCAATGACTAAGGAACCCGGGGGTGTAAATGGGCAGGATCACCAGTAAGGTGTAGTGCTTGTAGATGCTTCGGGCAAGCACGCAGCATATCCACCACAGGTGTTATAGTCGATATAATTGGTTCATTTCATTAGCCTGGACCGTCGAAGCCTTAAACCCATGACCATAATGTGGAAGACTGTAGTTCTACCAACCAGGATACTAAGCACCCACAATAGAACAGGATTCCAGACACACATAACCGGTATCCAACAGAGGTCCTCCCCTAGTGTGGGTACCCAGTAGCCTAGTTAGTAGAGCTCGTCTTCCACTTCTGTGGTCCTGGGGTCGTGGCTCCGATGATCCAAGTGAATGAAATGTTATTATCCACGTTTACTGCGGTTTGTTCAGCCCGTTCTCCAAACAAAGACCCAAAAGTGATTCCATGCACCTGCCAACCCCCCTGTTTATGAATGAAAAACGGTTTGCGCGACTCACAACTGATGACGTTCGAACACTTCCGGAACAAATGCGCTGTAAATGCTTCACCCGCGTACTACAAATATAAATAATTGCCAACTGATTCTAAACACCTAACCTAACCTATGCCTATATATGGACAATATGCTAATATAATATTAATTTATATTTGAGAAAATTCCCATTTTCAATGCACAGCATGTTAACATTTATGAATACGTCTGTGGGGTCGAGCGCTGGATGTAATGGACTTGAGTCGAGACGGGTTGACCCGAGTGGGTCAGAAATAGTTGGGCGTGTTTCCTTTCACCTAATGCCCGCTGTTCACCTATCAGTAAATAATTAGGGAGTTAGGCTCCCGGGATGTAGTTCTGAAGTTACATCCTGGAGAGGGTCAGTAGTTGGCCTTGCCCTAGGTGGACTTTTCACTTAATGCCTCTGTTTACCCAGTAATAAATAGGTAGTGTATACCAGTGTACTGTCACTGTAGCTATAGTGACAAGGGTGGCTGTACGCCTACCACCACCCTTGTCATTATCTCCATGGCTTCTCTTGCCACTACGACTCAACTTTCTACAGGATTCAACCCACAACATGTACCTAACTCCCGAGTACCTATTTACTATTGAAAGTGGAGAATTATAGTTACAAGAGAAGTCGTGGAGATAACGACAAGAGGCGGCAATTCTTGCTATTGCCGCCCCTTGCCACTGTAGTCACTTTTCAAGATTAAAGGTAAAGAGGCTTTACTGCGACACGTAGCCTCGTGCCACCTGTCGCCTCACAGGGCTCACCGCGTCTACCCCAGTGATAAAGCACCAAGATTAATAACGGCAGTGTTGCTGAACTTCCTTGTAACGGGTCGATGACACAGGCGCGGCAGAGTTAACTCTATGATAAGCTCGGTCAGTGTTCATGGTACACCTGGTCACTGTCCTCAGGCTAGGGTGGGGGTAGAGCCCCCGTGGCGCCACCACACCAAACACACTTATCATGCAACCCGTCTGATTATAAATTATGTTGTTCTCGCTCGTATGCTCACGGGAGACATCTCCCGTCACGCAGGGTGCAGTCGCACCTCCACAGATCTCCAGTATCATCTATTGATCCTGGAAATGGCTCAAAAGGGCCACCACTTATGGGCTATTCATGCCCAAGCCACCTTTTGGGTGGCTTAATCTTCTCTCTCTCTCTTTCGTATGCTGCACTCGGGTTAAAAATCGATGTAATTCAAAATTAAATCGGGTCACGAAAGTGACGTAATGTCCCGTTTTCTGTTTTGAGTTCTCTGGCTTAGGCTGTTAGGTTAGGAGAGGAAACTTTCAAACGTTTGGTTTTGAAATCTTAGGAGAACTTCCTGCCCTCCTAACCTACCAGAGGACCCTTAACTTACTGTTTTGGAAAAAAAATACAAAATTTATTTTCAATTATTTTTCATATTCAAATTACGGCCTTTTTTTGGCCGTAATGCATAAAAGCGAAAAGCGACGTTAATTTGAAAGAGGACGGGTTGTTATCAAGATATCCCATCAGCCCCCCCCCCCTCCCTTAGACAATCTCAAAAGTCTCTCTCTCTCTGGTTTAAGGACAAATAACCATTCACAATAATACACAGTAAACGCCTGTATGTAGCATACTCGTGGCAGGGATCACTGAAGATTTTATGTTACAAGGTACACGCACATGTCCCTCATTCTCTGTTCACACAACAATCTTCTCTCATATTCTTACTTTATTTTTAAGCACCAGAAATGCTTAGGAATTCAGCATTGAGACTGATGCTATCTTCTTAACTTGGTGGTCATCCGGGAGGGTATACAAGATACTGTGAGAAGAGTCGTGGTTCTTTTTTCCCAGGGTGACTTTCGTACGCTACATATGGATGATTCTTTTGTAATATTGCCCCTCTCTCAGCTCACGTCTGTAATATCTCTCCTGTCGTGCTCCAAGCTTACCACCGTGGAGGCTCCCATTACCCCTCCTACTGCTATGAAACACTGTTTCTGGAACACTTTTCATCACACTCATACTCCATTGCACTATTTACGGATAAGTTGAAGTCTGCCGACGGTGATGGCTACTCCGTTATCTTTCCTGACCAAACTATATCTGCCTCTTACCCTCAGGGACTAGCACCTTCACGGCTCAACTATCAACATTTTTGTATGCTCTTCGCCAACTACTTATCCGACGTCAACGTTCCACTGGCGTCGTGGTTCACTCTTGCAGTGCCTTCACGGCTCGGGAATCATTTAACCCTATGCATCCTGGAGGGGGGGAAGGTCGGAATTCAACATTGGTTATTTATTAACTCCAGCAGATTTAAGACAGTTTTACTGGGTTCCCAACCAAATTGGT